TTAATCAAAAGCACCAAATTGTTGTATAAAATAAACTAACTGCAATAAACTAACTGCAAACAGACGAGGATTATATTAACGTCATATTACACACACGCACACACACACACACAAAGTATTTGTAATTTTAAACAATTAGCTGTTTATTTCATGGTTACTAATTTCAACATTATGGGAAATTTCATCCCTCCAAATATCAATTTCTAATAGTAGTATTTCCAGCATCAAATTTAACCTTCAATTTCATCTTGATTATGATATACTCAATTTCATCTAATAGTTATTTTCAAATATGATTTGAAGAATTGAGAGTGTGCTTATTAAAGAAGTGAAATAGCTATGTACTAACTCATTGAAATAGAGTTAGTTAACATAACCCTACTTTAACCCAAACTCACACAAACTTTTTGTGCAATCAGCTCCATAATTAGCCTGGCATGTAGGCGTGAGTGGCGCCCTCGCCGGCCGAACAGCATCAGACCCCACCAACGCCTGACAGAATAGTGTATGTCTGGTCGGCAATATCAATACTGCGAATTTGCAATGTTCATGTCTTCTTGCAATGAATATTCATTTTGGTTGTCATGGTAACACCGTCAATCAAAGCTGTGTTTGCGTTGTCAGCAAAAATCTACACTAGAATTTTTGAAATTTTATAATAAAACTATCTTTTTAATTTGTTTTTGCTGACATTACAGAATCCGCAATGACATAATTAACTAAACTCTCATTTTTAATTACAAACGATCTTCCTGGCAATTAATGGAAGTGAACATGAAATAAACAGCTAAGTATTTTCAAGTTAAAAAAAAATAATCCCAGATTCACTAATTTTTGAAATAAATTTAAAAGAATTCTTCATACACCATAACTTGAGTTATAACATTTAATGTAAGGGAGTCGTCATCAGAGCATTTGACAGTCAGCTATAGCATGTTGTTGTTATTTACAAACAAGCATCTACCCATAAGCCTTTGTGTTTTGCAGGTGACAACTCTGTTTTAAAATATTGTGACACAAAGCAATTTTATTCACCGTCCAAATTGTCAAAATGAAAAAAAATAGTTGTAAATAAGTAATCTAATCATGATTTGCAAAAAAAAAACACATACAATTTTGTTGTACTTGAATTAAAATTGATCAACCCCATCCTCGCAATGGTTTCCCCCATCATAAATAACAAGAAAAGAATTCAAATTGAGTTGTAGGGGTGAATAAGACAAGGCACAGTAAAGGAAATTCACAGTGGGTGTAAGCATTGGTGACACGTAAAAAGCAACTACAAAAACACTCAAAAAAACATTATTCCCAGCAAAACTGGTCAAAACATTTAAAAATGTTTTCTTTGCAATCATTTTTTTTTATATTAGTAAAAATGGTAGTTAAAAGTGCAAACTGTAAATGGTCTACAAAGTATTTTAAACAACACAGCTATGGCCGATAAAGAGACGAGCTGAGCCACAAAGTTAATGATTTCATCATAACACATTGTCCTCTACTGTTCAGAGCCCATATGTTACTAACACTTAAAAGTAACCATTTATACCAGCAATGATAGGAAGCCATTCCTCCTATGTGAGTATAACATATAGAATTGGTGGTGTGTGATGTCCTAAACGTTGCATATATCCTTTTATATGGCACAGCTGTGAGTTTAAAATTTTACTTCCCATGAAGTCCCAACTGCAGCAGCAAGTGAGCGATACAAGACTCACTTATGCAAATGTTCAAATTAAACACAATGTTTTTTTACCAACATTCAAAGATACAAATGTATGTAATTGACTGAACTTGACTAATAAAAATGTTAATACATTGCAATGACTTCAATCTATAAATTTCCAATGCAAATAATTATATTCTGTGATAAAAGCCAGATCATTATTTCTGCATGTTGTAGAGGTTTATCATGGTCATTTTTTTTTTCATTTGATATTTTTTTTTACCTTCCCAAAGAAATAATAATTTGTCCTTTAAATCAGACTGAAATTAAAGCGACAAATACTAAACACTCTATACAGACAGCAAGAGATTATAAAAATACAAAGTGTGTCGTTAAGAAAGAAATCTGGTAGCCAATTCCACATAAAATATGTGAAATATATACATTAATTTTTTCAAAACATCTCCGTAATAGATATTTGGTTTCAAGGCAGATATTCTGTTATTGCAAAATACATTCAATTCTAATTGGTAATTAATTAATTAATTAATAAGTTATTGATCACATGACTAACATGTGGACATGCAGTTAGCGTATTAAAGTTATGTTGATATGTAACCTTTAACCTCTGACCTTTGGACAGAAATACATATGAATTTGGACCTAACAAAGATTTCAAACTTGAGGTGACAAGAAAATTATATTGCCATGGTTACTAAGGCAGTAAACAAACGCATGCACGCTGGCCTCAAGTCATCATCAAGTACCATTACCAAGCTTGCGTAGCTGTCAATTGACAACTATAAGCCTGTACAAGGCTGTCAAGGTTTCAGAAATCACTGTTGATTTGTTTTCATAATTCAATGTAGAGGACATTACATTTCATAAATACAAATAGTTCCCTTACAATCATCAGCATTACCATGATGCATAACTATTAGAAGTTTTAGCTATTGTTTATTTCAGTTCCATCAAACAGGTAGCAGAGCAACCAAATCTGATAGGATTCCATAACTTAATTATTTTTATATATTATCATTTTACAAAAGTTTAAAATTATTTCTCTAAATTTTCTTTTATTTATATAAAAAACCTAAAGCCTTAGTGTGGACGTTAATGTGAAAACCAAGCAAAAATTACTTAATGTAATAGGGCTTGTTTTAATGAGTTTTATTTCTACTCCTAAGGACTAATCAAAGTTAACAATAACAACGTTGTTTTGTTGCTTCACAAACCACTGAATTAAAAAATCTTGCAAATATCAGCTAAAATTTAATTCAATGAATATTTCTCCTTCTGCACCTAAATTTTGAACAGGTCTTATTCATAATTGAAACTAGAATCATGTTATTATTTTGTTTATAAAGCTAAACAGAGAATCTTTTCTTTTCTTCATGGTGTTCAGCAGCCCCTATTCTTTGGTACCAGTTTGCATGTATGAGCATTTCCATATATAGCATTTTTGTCTACTCATTCTGTTCTCTATGAATGCGCGATTCGAATCCTAGAGAGACAGGTCAAAGGTCATGTTAGTGTCATCTACAACTCTCAGCAGCCATGTTATTTTGTTAATCTGTTGCCATGGGTACGGCTCACAGTGCTGGCCAATGTTGGTGAAATGCATGATGGGTAGGCGGGTGAAAGACTTCTAGATTGAGGTAAGCTGGTTGTTATCACACTGCGCTATCTCCAACATATTCCCTAGAATGGTATGAAATGAAAAGCAGACACAACTATAGTTAGTATTTCATGCAGCATTCAATAAGTCTACATTTTAATATTGTAGCAGTCTATATCCTATATATAAAAGATATACTGTAGCAAGCCTATATCCTATGTATTGAAGATGTACTGTAGCAAGCCTATATCCTATGTATTGAAGATGTACTGTAGCAAGCCTATATCCTATGTATTGAAGATGTACTGTAGCAAGCCTATATCCTATGTATTAAAGATGTACTGTAGCAAGCCTATATCCTATATATTAAAGATGTACTGTAGCAAGCCTATATCCTATATATTAAAGATGTACTGTAGCAAGCCTATATCCTATGTATTGAAGATGTACTGTAGCAAGCCTATATCTTACATTGTATGTATTGAAGATGTACTGTAGCAAACCTATATCCTATATATTATCAGATTACTGTACCATGTGTATCATGTACATTAAAGGCATACCGTAGCAAGTCTATATTCTATACATTAGAGGTATACTGTCATATGTACAGTGATGTCATATGGTAACAATTCTACATGCTATTCATTAAGGGAATACCACTGTTATGTCTGTCCTATACATTAAAAGCATCCTGTATCAACTGATCACCCTATACACAAATGAATATTAACACAATTAGATCTATCTACATAGATTATTAAAGGAATAAAGTGGCAAATATATACCTAATATATTAAAGAGACCCTAACACTTTTGTATTAAGTCTACAGTACATTATTTATAAGACCTAAGTTACATTCTATATATTAAGGGTGTACAGAAACATTTAGAAAGTTATACATTGAAAACACATTAAAGGCACACAGTAGCATGTCAAAACTCTGAGCATTAAAGGTGTACAGAAACATTTAGAAAGTTATACATTGAAAACACATTAAAGGCACACAGTAGCATGTCAAAACTCTGAGCATTAAAGGTGTACAGAAACATTTAGAAAGTTATACATTGAAAACACATTAAAGGCACACAGTAGCATGTCAAAACTCTGAGCATTAAAGGTGTACTGACACATTTAGAAAGTCAATTCTGTATATTAAAGGCACAGTCGCTATTTAGTATTAGCAGCACTGCATACAAAAATTAGCCAAGCTTACATGCAGCAAGATTTGATCAAAACAATTCAAAATTGATTAGTTTTGTACTGAATTGTGGGTAGCTCAGATGAGAATTAGCCAAAAAAAAACACATAAGTCCAATTCTCAAAATTGTTGTTATGAAAAAAAAGCTAAACCCAGAAACTTCATTTGACCAGTTTACGTCAAATTGATCTGTTAAGAGTCAGTAATAATTCTATGAATGACAACATAGTATCTACTTCTATAAAACAATGACAGTACACCTTTAATGCAAGACAAGGTGAATATACATAAAACACGGAATTCAATTGTTGAAATCAACTGAAAGAAAGTTAGAAAATGAAGCATGCATTCTACAGATGGAAATGAACCTAGGTTTGGGGAAAAAATAGGAGATCGTCATGAAATTAACGCACAGAACACATAAGAGTGTCCTGGAGCAAAGTTTGATTCTCAGACTGTTGCTTGCAAGCTTCTTGAATGCTGAAATAAACATGCAGGGTTTCTTGTAGCAATTGTTAGTACATTAATGAATTGCACTACTATGGAATATAATCTAAATATTTTTTACTAGATTCGAAGATACGTTTTTGATAACTTGTTGTATGTTGATCGATGATGTACTTTCATTTGACATTCTGTCTTTGTGTGTGTGTGTGTGTGTGACTGGTGTTCTGCATCTCTCAAACTATAATTGTGAAGTACTTGGGTTGTTTCTCATTGCATTTTTAATCATTTTTTTTCTTGATTTTTTTTTATTTCCAAAAAAACAACAAAAACAAACACACTATTCGAGCTCTAGATCACACAGCTCAGACTAAAATATAAAAAGAAACAATGTCTAATATGATAAAAAGAATATAAAACAGTTTGAGATCCGCTAAACAGTCTCCAAATTGTTTGGTGTATAATAATGTTTGTTACTAGAAGGGAAAGCTGATTATTTGGGCAATTCACACATTAATAACTAAAGCGGCATAACATATGGGGTCAAATTAACATGGCCTATATTATGTTAATGATGTAATATAGATGGAAGTCTAACGCAGACATTCATAACACTTAAGTTTGACTGCTTTGAATTTGATTCTACTCTTAAAATGGATAAATTATCCAAACTTGTTCAACCCTGATAGTACGGTGCATCTATGGTTTCTATCCGGTGACCAACTGGCTGTAGCAGACCAGAATCACCATACGCTTGACTATCACCATTTTGAATCGGGGCGTCATTCGGGGAAGCGAAATAACTTGCTATTGGAGATGGCATGTTATCAGTTTCAGAGGTTTTATAATTATCATAATCATCTATGTAGCTGTGATTTAACTCTGCCATGGTTTCAGGGTTATGATCATTCAAAGCTGGTGCAAAGGGATTCATTTGGGGTGGTGCTATGCTTTCAGTGAAGTATGTGTATTGGTTATCGGACTGTGGTGAATTCTGGTCCAGCTCTGAAGGGGAACCTAACTCAGATGTAGTAATACTCTTACTAGGATCAGATGGGGATGAAGCTATGCTCTGACTTGGCTCAGAAGGAGACGTTGCTACACTCTGACTTGGATCGGATGTTTTCAAACTGCGATCCAAACTGTCATCAGAAATGACACTACTATCTTCCTGCTGAACAATCCTCCTATCTCGGCTTCGACTCCGGCTTCTGAGCGGCATTCGAGGAAGACTTAGTGAACGCCTCCGTGGAGTTGGAGGAGGAACATATTCAAGTCTGGAATAAGGAAGGCACAGAGGTCATGGAAATAAAAAAACAAAAAAACACGCAGATATGAACACAGGCACAAAACATACTTGCATTAGACAAAGGTAGTGGTGCATCGAATAACATATACTCACAATGTACTCTGAGTAATGAAATAACTGAAAGCAAATTTTCAGAAACTCAGAGGGCCTCATTCAAACTACTATGTGAATTATATACAATTTTGCGATTATCTAATGAAATGATCACTCAACTGTAAGAAGAAAGCTAGATGTAGGACAAAAACCATCTTGCTAATGAAGAGGAACGTGTTTTTTGATTAAATAAAATGTATATAATTATGTTCTCTACAAAAAGTCCATCCATGTGTATGATTTGCATATAATTTGAATAAAAAACTCAAAGTTTCTGATGAGCTGCAGTACTGTTAAGAACTTCAAGTAATGATGAAAATGATAAAACAACTTTACCATGAAGTATACTGTCACAAGGTTCATGATGGTATACATGTCGGGTTAAATTTAGGGTTTGGAGAAAAGGTATATTAAAATACAGCCAGAGGTAGGATTATTTCACAGCCGAGCTAGTAGACTTTGAAACACTTACACACCCCAAAACTCCATTCATAAAGAGACGAGTGCCATACGTGTGCCGGCTATTGATTACAAACACCGGTTAAGTGACTACCAAGAATGATAGCACCAGTGTATTGTGTAAGCAGATTCCAACTATGTTCAGTTGCCATG